ACCCATATTGTCAATGATGTCGTCAGTATATCTCGTATTACTTTGTCCGACGCTTGCATATTGGCAAATCGTATATAAATGCAGTACATCTCAGACCCGTAGATGAGACATTAGTGATAGCTATATTCCTCGGCGAAAACCAGGAGATTGAAGATATAGAGGGGTTGATATTGCGACAACATGCCGCTATCGAAACAATATCAGAAGTGAATTTAAAACCGATTGATTTCATGAGTTTGGAATTTACTTCTTGGTCGTCTGATCGAAGCAATAGCAGAATTGAATTCAGACCCCATTGGTAATATGGTGGACGTGCCATCATACGTATCATTACACAGGCGTCCGCCGCACTGCACCAATGTTGCACTCGTGAGTTATACATACTAGCGAAAGTACATCGGATTATGTTCCTACTATTTGAGTTTCCGTCGGCATCTCCCCTTTAAACGATACAATGCAGGCTGGCAGACCCACCACATGGTATCCTACTGCTGATTGCTAGTTTACAGTGAAGGAGCATGTCCTTCAACCAGTCTTCTCATCTTCTGCTGAGTGTCGTGGCGGGGGGGGGGGGGGGGACCAGGTCTTGGATCAATGGTTGATCAGACTCGCTAGAATACATAATTTCTGCTCAAGCGACCTCTGTATGGGGCACCTGAAATCGGCTGACAACCGGTAATCATCTGTATCTTCTTTTAGCAACGGTAAAACAACTCTATTCATTCCCTGCATGCATATGTTGGTTCCATAACCTCACTTGAGCATCGTGGGCGAGTTCAGTATTGTCCCAATAGTTCTTGTGCTTGTTGCCCGGCACAGGCTGAAAGCCACCGATGAACACCATCACCGGCCACCCAGCTCAGGTTAACTGACCAAAAACCCGTGGATGGGGTTTACAAGCACTCACCGTGTCGACATGCCCTCAGCAATGGGCAAACAGTCCTTCAAGTGTGATTCGCCCCGCCACGAAAGAACAACGAAAGCGCATCACGACAATTTTACGAGCGTAGAAGCTTTAGAGCACGCTTTTAATGCAGTCGGTACCGCTCTGCCGCGGGAGGGACTACACAGCCGGCTAAATATGTCGACAACCCGATGCTCCAAGCTTATGACACTGAGCAGCATGAAACTCTCCCCAATAAATGCGTCATGGTCAAGATTCTATGGTCAGGTAACGTCACCAAAAGCACAAACAATGGACAGATAGGGTTGCAGACACCCACATGCTCGGAGAAAATCAGACCCATCAGCATGAAACCTTCACCAGTCGGTGTCATCGTCGATATCCAGATATTTTTCCGGCTTTGATATTTTTGGTGAGTTTTGACCTGAACCAGGGTCACCGTGTTCTGTAAAGCATAGGAGATTGACTATGACGTATCGATTGGTAAAGGCTTCATGCTTATCAGTCCCATAAGCTCGGAGCATGGTGTTGACTGCAGCCGAGTTTGGTTGTCTTGGGCGTTTTCAGTAACTTTTGACCTTTGTGAAATGCTTCAAAGATTAACCCTGCGACCGAATATCACGTGGGCTGTGTTGACCTTCGGGGCACTAGCAATGCCATTTATGAAGAAAGAAAAAGGAAAAATAGCTGTTTCTTTAAAATATAAAACGAAAACACGCCTGTTATTGGCAACAACCATTCCTACGTTTTCTTTAAAGTTAGGCATGCGCGATAAATTTTGTCCTCATTTGATAGAAGAGCGGATCGTAACATATTTAATTGCTACCCATAGCGTGTGGCTATGTCACATAAAGTGTCAGCGAGTGTCACTGTCGCTCTACGTAATAGTGCTAAATGTCAAGAAAATATTGCATCAAATAATACCCGAGCTGTCACATGGATTGTTTTGATCCGATACGAGCGCGTATCAAACGGGTTGTGTCCTAAGACACGTTGGTATTATGTACGTAGTACTGTGTGTAACCGTATCTGTTTCTTCCGAAGGAAATCAAACAGTTGAAAAATATTTTAAGGCGTCTAACCGCAACTTTTCTGTGTCCTTTCAGTCCCATCAGTGCTTACGAAATGGGGCCAAGGTGACGTAGTCAGCGATGCTTCCACTCACTACCGATGGATTCGAAAACAATCTGGTCTCCTTTTAGACGATTTAGACTTAAAGCTGGCAGCGAACTATGACGAACGTTACATTTCCGAAGTCACTCATGGAACATCGGGTGAAAAGCTGTGGCGCAAAAATCTGGCGATGAAGACCAACGATTCCTTTACACTGGACGACTATAAGCGCAAATGATTTGCACTTGGTTGCCATAATAACCAAACCAGCCCGGTGTCTACTCATCCGGAATTCAAGATCTGCGCACTATCAGCTGTTCAACGTTTGGTACCCAATTTTCCCACATTAAACAAGCGGAGTTCACTGCTCTTATCTTGTCTAAACACTGGATGAAAGGTGTGCCTTTCGTGATCGTAGATCCCAGCACGTGTTCTCCAGCTGAAATGATGGCATGAGTTTTCGCTTGGTCATGAAAAGGGCAAAGCCAGAAAAGCTCGTGAATTCAAGTTGGTGCACTTGGTGTGGAAGATACGGGTCTGCTTGTTGTGACGGCAGCAGGCGCATGGGACCGGTAGCAATCAGAAGCATCCCCTGCCGCGCTCAACAGAGCAGGAGCTTCCACATGATTCCATAACAGTGTGGCCTGGTACAATAGCCTCATTGGTCAGCTTTTGACCATGTGTGACCTTCATAGAGACGTTTAAGGTCAGAAGAAGTCAAAAATATTTAGTAAGTAATATGTATGTAGGCATGTTCAGTACACCAGTGCAATCACTTGATGTCTTCGGCTACGGTACAGTAAAAGAACGTTTTTATCGAATTTGGGACTTTGTATAGCAGAAGGTCACTGGTCTGGTGATCACACTAAAACAAAAATCGAACGCGTTGTGGCAATTTAAGTTAAGGTCAGACATATGCCCTGTGTAAGCCTAAGGTAAAAAATGTGATGTGTATATTCTCCATGCTTTGACGGGACTTTTACAACGTTATCTTTGTTTTTCTCACACGGCGTGTGAAAGTTTGAGGTCCCAGAGGGGAGGGGGTTAAATTTCCCCCGGCCCGGTGCAGTCGTCTCAGGCCCCCGGCCGGGCGTAGGTTAAAGGTGACGAAGTCAAGCGGTCAGATAGTAAACTCAGAATTTCTTATTGCTTTCTGGTTCTGGAGATAATCGGGTTTTCTGACACTGACGCTTCGGTATTTCCTTTTTCAACAGTTTTGTAATTATATGCATTCGCTGACCCTAAAGGAGGCATGGCCTTTAACGTTTCGTGACCAGACTTACATCAAGCTTTCAAAAAAATATGTAGATCACCCAATACACTAAGCTTCAAGTAATTTTGAGACATGAGGGTGTTGTCCAACACCCCATTTGTCTGTGTGCTACACCCGACAGATTCAGCAGCCTACACCGCCTAGTTGGTTTCGCGTCTTAAGCTGCCGCTACGGCTGAGATTTCAGATTACTTTTTGCAGCGCCCTACAACGGCCGGATCATCATTTACAGACGAGGGCGTGTGACAGCGTCCACTCACTACACGCATTAACCTAGACAGCTGTCAAAACCATTGTCCGCCTTCTCCCGCGAAAACGAAATTAAACGCACCCTACTAAGCCATGCCAGCTCCCGAATATTTCAGGTGCAACCATTTTTTTAAGAGAGTGGAACGAATGCTTTGGGCTAAGCGTTATGCCACCATGCTGTGTATCTAAATGCAGCTAAACACCTGGATTTATATCATGCTTTCAGATTAGTATGTTCCCAGGAGTTCGCCTTATTGCTGATTGAGATACGGTGAATGCACGACGCAACTCTAAAAGACGCGTTAAAATCGCTCAAAATATCGAGCATCTGGTGCAGGTTAACTTTTCCAAAAGACAAACCCTACCTGAACATATTCATATTCAGGGAGGCTATCGCCGTCATTACGGAAAACGTGCTACTCAGGGGCTCTTCGAGTGCATGAAAACATCGGCAGCGCGTGATTTATCTCGTGTGGGGTATTACATCACATCAAAGATGACGAAAAGAGAAATTGGCAAGAATTTCAGTTCTTTAAAATACTAGTGATCTAAACTTCCTATGATGTAAGGTGACGAAATGTGATTTGCAAACACCCTTTCCGTTTGCATCAAAGATCCAGTCTAGTGCTATTCATAGTTTTGCTTACCATGGCAATCATTAGATATTCCATTCACGGGATGATCTCCAAAGTGCAGAGCTTACCACTTACAGCTCACTCAGGGTATACGACAATCTAAAGGTGCATGGACAGGGTGCCCTTGCTGTTCGTATACGATTTCTCTGAAATAATATCACTATTTTGTGTTTATCAGTGTAGTTTGCTTGCACCTTTGGTGGAGCTGATATAAATCCCCGTAGTTGGATGTATTCCTGCTTTTTAAAATGAAATCACCTAATTTGCAGAGCACAAAATAATGCTAGAGATGGTTTGTATTACGGACGCACATTAGTAACTACCTTACATTGCATTTCTAACGTCCGCATTTGAACAGTGTTGTTCATCATTGCAAGCAGATGACATCACACACTCATGCAAGAGCGTATTGTAGCTTACAACAGTTGCTACATTGCTATCGCAAATCCGCGCGGATTATAGTTGGAGCATTCCCTCTTCGGAAGCAAAGCGTAGCTAGGCCCTTACTCAGTCTCATCCTGACCCTGTTGAACGGAGATAACTTTGATAGAAGCACCTTCAGCAACGTTGTGATCTGCCAAACACAAGCACACTGAACCGAAATACACAACAACTATAGCTTGCTTGTCCTGAAGTGGCATTCAATGCGCCGCAACATATGTGACGTGCGAGTTTACAAATGTTATCACACAGACACGGTGGATGCCTTTCTCTTGGCCACTTCAAGCAGGTACTTTTATCACCACAGGTGCCTCACACCAAATCTATTAAACTAAGCGTCCAAATGCGTAAATATCTAGTTGCCCTCTAAACGGATGCGCAGACCACTCCATGAACAGTTCGTCACGTAACGCCATCTATATCAACAACAGCAGTGCAGCGGCAATAGTTCCAACATAGGCCGCAGTCGTTCGGGAGGCGCCACCACCAGCACCGATCGTCACCCTGGAATGATTCGAGCTTGTAAGTCCCGCGCACAATCGTGTTTCCTCCGGGTGGACTCAGAATAAAACCTGGGAGCAACTAAATCCAAGCGAGTTCGGGTGGCATTAATTGCTTGGTACTTCTCTAGGGGGTTTGACTTAGAATTGAGCGACCAATCATCAGTTGGCTCAAGCAGAAATGCAATATGATTATGATATGTACAGCCAAAGATCTGAACGCACGAGCCACGAAAAACGGAAACGCAGCCATGCATTTAGCCAATTTGCTTGCTATTTTAAAAACGACTTGTCACGCATGGTTTTGTGCGGCCATTACATCGGGTTCCCTGTCAAACTGAGGTCGACGGAGTAAAATTTATCTGAAACGATTTCGGTCTTTACCCAGATAGATCTCCTCGAGTCAGAATCGGAGTCAAGCCAAAGTTGTGTTATGTTGCTCGTAATTAGTGTCGAATATTAAACAATATTCACGGTAATTTGCAGTAGGAAATTGTTCTGCTCAAGCAGAACCAAAGCATTTCTGGTTACTAATACTGTATACGTGATGGTGACAGTTAAAACAGCTATGCAACAAAGCGCGCGCGCGCGCGCGCCCACACCCACCCACACCCACACCCACACCCACACCCACACCCACACGCACGAACGTACACTATACATGTACACACATATATGTATATATATATATACATATATATATATATATACATATAGTCAGATTTAATTGATACTAAAAGGAAAACGCAACAGTCAGTGCTCTCGCAGTACCAGCTTTCTAACTACCCAGCATATGACATCTGTATTATGATATGTGGTATCATGAGGTATATATTTATATTACTGCATACTGAACATACCTCTGGCACTTTAACGTGCATTTGTATGAACATATAGATCATTCTAAGACATACTGACCAGGAACGTGTGCTCATAGATCATGCCACGCATATCGCTACTGTGGCACATGAACTGGCCCGAGTCTTCCTCCCGGGTGGGATTTATCTGAGGGTAGACAACAACAGCAGAATGTCAGGCGAGCCGGAGGTCAGGGTCGCAGACGCTGCCAATGGTCACCAACACCACAAATAACCAACAGTGAACAACATATTTACATGAACATTGATTTTTATATATATATATATATATATATATATATATATATATATATATATATATTTATAGTAAATGCTCTCGCAGTACCAACTTTCTAACTTTCCCGCATATTATATATATATATATATATATATATATATATATATATATATATATGTATACACATATGTATATATAGACAAACAGACAGCGACAAAAGAAACAAGCGTCTTTACATTTACACCATGTGCTGCATACAGGTATTTTTGTACATAGAGAGCACCAACAACGACCATACACTAGATGGCATAATTTGTGCTGAAAGCTTGCAATGCAGTATATTTCATCGCGCTACATTAACTCAACTTGGTTTGAATTGCACGAATCTCGAATGAGCCGTAATGAATCACGTCTTGTTTGACCAAAACTGCGCCGTTTTGTGTATGGATGACCCTGCCCCAGCACTTCTTGGTAGGGCCTCTGTAAAAAACTACGCGACTAGATCCCGAGAAAGCACGGGCAGCCCATATGCTACGACGCGTCCTTATGGATGTCAATCCCGGTACTTATCCGATCCCGGGATCACAACAAAAGGCATTATAGCTGTACTGCATTTACAGATATGCAAAACCTATGCCAATTGTAGGTAAATGAAGTAAAGTCGCCACCATGAAGCACAGTGTATATAGGTACGTCGGCGTACGTTCTAGGCGTGACTGTTGGCATATCGATCATCGCACTGATTTTGTTGTACACCCCAAAATTATCACGTAACAGTAACATTCAGCAACACGTAACAAGTGACAATCTGGACTTTGATTCGGCGGGGGCTGCACCGATTTCATTTGGACACTGGGTTACTATAAATACATAGCAATGACTTATTTTGGGCATCTGCTGTTTCCAATCGTGTTAACATCGGCACTGAATGTGCGGTGCCAGAATTATAAGGCACATTTGGCACGTGAAACGACAAGGACAACGTCGGAAAGTTTGGCATAACTGCGGATTAATCTATTGCACATTCTTTTAAAAACAACTGCTAAAATGTTTTTCCAGGCCACGTAGCCTTGCAGTTATTTATGATAGCATGAAGTCCAATTTTGCACCAAATACTTTTTTCTGTATACTCACAGGAAGTGGTATCTTCTGGCGCGCAATCAACACAGGGTGATAGACTATAGGTGCACAGATGCATTTGCATAGGCCAATGAGCCGTAAATTGTCAGCTATGGTTAAAAACTTATGGGCCCTTGTCTGACCTGAAACATATCTTCAGCCACTTTGTTGCCCTGATTTTAACTCAGAACATAATTTATATTCTTATCATTTAAAAAGCGGCGCACATGCTCAAGAAGCGTTATTTTTCACTTCATGTTCTTTGGTATAGATTGACTAGAACTGAAGCCACCAATGGACCTCAGAGGGCAAGCAGGGCTTCGTCTCGTATTTCATTTAAGCCATCTCTCTGCCTCCTAAGCTATTCTTGATTCTTACACTTCACCCAAAAGGGTAAAACTTAAGACTCTTAAATTCGCGGGTCTTAATTATATTCGTGCGTATATGGTGATGACGATCGATCCTCAGTTGCGGCATGTACGCCATCCGACTCCTCTCAAACAGCCTGGGGGCGTGATGGCCGGATGATTAGCGCGTCGGACTCTCACATTAGGGAGCCTGGGTTCGAATCCCGTTCTGCCCCTGAGGCCCCTGAGGGCTGAAAATGGCCATTGCAGTCGCTGGTGCTCCATAAAGGGACATGACGACGTGCATCGCGTTCTTTAACACGCGCTCGGGTGGGGGGTCAGATTGACTCCCCCACCCGAGTGGTTGCTCCAGAATGGCTTCTGAACGGCGCGGCAGAGCCGCGCCAAATTTTGCATAACTGTAAATAATTGAATAGCGGATCATTTGGCATCAAAAGCGCAGATGTATCTTGTAAGGTTGCTGACCTATGGAGGGTAAAAATCAGGCCATGGTTTCAACGAAGGCAATTTCGACGTAATCCTTTAATCTGATCCAACAACGGAATGTTAGACGAAGCCATACATATCAGAGATGCTTTCTTAGGCAACATAACAGTTGTCTGATCAAATTAAATTGACTTAATGTCAGGTTTGAAGGTCACACCAAGGTCAAAAACAGCCTGTTATATTACCCCAGAGCTTGCTGTATGGGATAGTTTCTGGTGCGCATTTAGAATTTATTGATAGCAGGAACCGCATTATACATCTTCTATGGACTTCTTAGAGGTCTTAATAGGTCATTAACATAAAATGACCTAGGTCAACACTTTGTTTTATGAACATACTGCCTAGCATAATCTTTGTGTCTTCGTCAAACGCAAAACTCAAAGCAATCTTGTATAATTTTGGTTACCTTGACCTTCAAAAGGTCAAACCAGGTCACACCCTTAAATGAGAGTGTGACCTTTTGCTTTGAAACAGCTATCTAAGTTTTGGGAGCACTTTGGAGACCAGCCTGGAACTTGACCTTGTTTGACCTTTTTTAACCCAAAGGTCATGACCTAGGAACTTGAAACTTTGACCTAAGTATGCTCACGTGTAGGTCAACACATTCTGTAAATTTGGTGTCTTTAGCTTCCTCAGTTCCGGAGATCTCAAGGGGTCAAATTGACCCCCACCCGAGCGAAGGGTTATCTAGCCGGCCACCCGGGCGCGTGTTAAAAAAAAACAATCCTGGACAGCTACACCAAGCAAATACATCATTTTACAAGAAGAAATGTTTGTCTTTATGCCCAGCCCCCTTATGATATATATATATATATATATATATATATATATATATATATATATATATATATCGCTTTCTATCCAGTGGAGAGCGTTATGCACGAAATGTCCTTCATGTTCAAGTAGTGAGATATCTCAAGATGTTTAGTGGAGAATCGCTGCTAATTTAGTAAAAGTTCTTTAGGCAGACTGCACACTAACCAACTCTCCGATCCCAGGGTCGAAAACGCATGGATCGTGAAATTGGGACTGATGTAAATCGCGGGGAGTCCCACCCTAGGACTGACATCCTTACTTACTTATCCTAAACATGCATAAATATGTGAGGGCGATGAAGACTAGCATAGTCTCTCACTCAAGGCGGGCGTTTATGCCCCTAAGCACCTGAACATTGTGGAACCCTTTCGTCTGATTGAGGTGCTCGTGTTACCTGAGCCGACAGATGGACGTCAGAAAGCCAGAGTGGGACGGTGACCCTCAGCCCAAGCGAAAGCATGACTGTAAGCCCACGCGGAGGGGCACCCTAAAATTGTGTGTCGTACACTTAAGACGAACTGTTTTCACATTGATCCTATAGTCAAGTTGTCATCCTGATTCCTCCTATACAAGAGGCACAGCAATGTCAACTACCGCAAACTTTTTTACCACTGGGGTCGGATTCGCATTTACAACACCACAATCTATTGACGTGATGAAATGTCTATTGTCCGTGTTGCGGTAAGTGATACCCGTTCAGGGCATTAGCATTAATATAACACAAGTGAAGGTATACCCCAGTCTGACCTTGGAACAATACGAACGGGGCCCCTCGAGCAGGGGCCTCATAATGGAATGGAGCAAGCGCAATTGTGCATGTATAACATGAATTTAAGCGTAAAAGTTGTGACGGAAGGAATTCCGAGACACCCAAGAATACACGTAGAGGACGTATAGATCTCACTAGTGACCAATGGCAGTGTTGCCCCGCATCCGGGGAGGGGGGCAGACGCGGGGGTGGGGATTTGACGCGGGGGAGGGGACAGAGGGGGCACACCGCCCTCTCCATCCTGTCTTTTGAGGTGGCAGAAAAATGACATTTTCGCTCCTTCTCCCCTTCTCCAATATTTCGGGCATTCCAGAACGCGCCCTGAGAAAGGTGGAAGCAATTCCCTCACCGTGTTACCAAGGGGAGAAAAGAGGGCCCATCTTATGACTGGAAAAGAGCCATCTCAGACTGGAGAGGACCCAGTGTCAGGCAGGAAAAACGCCTATGCCAGCTTCAGGCAAGGAAAGGGCCCATTTCTGATCGGGAAACGCTGAAAAAACTCCGGTCACGGCCTTGCCTGGTGTCGATTTAGCAAATGTTTGAATGAACAATTAAAAAGCGTAGCACCGGCAGATTTTTCATGGCAGCCATTTTATGTTTGCTTGGTTTATGTTATGGATTTTAGCAGCATCCTTTGGAAGCTCTAACTATTTTGTCACAGTGCAAGAGGACAAAACGGAAAACAACTGAAGAAAATAGTCCTTCAAACTAAAGCAAACCAAATTCAGTGGACTGTTTTTAAGCAGTGATGGTATTGGCAGTGTGGCCCACCACCAACTTCGGTTGCCTCCCTCCCCCTCCCCCTCGTTCAGACAGGATGTGCATACGCACACACAAGCATATCGTTCCAAATTTGTTTTGTTTCAACGTTATCCTTGTACGCTACTAATTTTGCCGGGGTGGGGCCCACCGCCTGTCAGAGGGGCCCAAGACGTTTGAGGGACCCTTAAAAAGTTGCTTGACCCCCATCCAAACTTCGATCTGCTGTCACTGCCGTGAGGACGTACTACCCTCGCTCCCTCCCTCTCTCCATCCGTCCACAATCGCGATTACCCCACACTGCGAGACGAAGCTCCCCTCCCCTTCCCCACCACCGCCACCACACACCGTGAGGACGTAGGCCCCGTTCTCAGAACGGATCTGGTACCGGTTGTCGCTGACGATCAGCTGCGCGTCCCGAGCAAACTCCATCTTGCCGTCGCTCTCTGCGGCGGAGGGTACGTGTCAGAGCCACAGGCAGACTGGGACCACGTCAGCTCCTCTTCCCGCCATTATGTCTGCTAAGAGGGACGGGTAGTTGAGGTAGCATTGAGTTGGCTCAGTGGTACTGACACCCACCTACTTCTCTTCTTACATTACACAATGCAGTAAAAGAAGGGAAAGTCCGAGGACGATTTTCACTTTTTGTTTGATCACTCTATCATGCTGTCGTTGGGGCCGAGGACCAGTTCTACGTGGTTGTCACCTCTGCAAGACGAGGGATGGACGCGGGGTCGGGGAGGATTTCTAATGGATGTCGGCGTGCAGAGTCAATGTGGAAAGTGGATTGCATAACAGGACAGACCAAAACTGGGCAGCCCACGAGCCAGTTCGCTCTTCCAACCGCACGATATGTAGTTACGTGAGGGCGTAGGGTGTATTCGACCTCGCCGGCGCCGCCGCAAACCGAGGCTAGAGGCGATTGTCACACCTAGCCGGAGAACCAGACCACGTCTCACAGCGGCGACGGCAGTGCATCGCCACACATCTGGAGGTGCGGCGGCCGAGAGGCGTCCTCTTCGCGTGCGCGGTGCGTTGCCGCGCGGTGCGGTGTTGCGGTACGGGGTAGTGACGGGTGACTGGACCAACGGCGGGAGAAAGCGGCAGCGTCGCCAGCAACACGAGACACACTTTCTCATAGGGTGCTGTCGTTTTGCTGGCGGGATGGGACCGCGGTGGCACTAGCCGTCATCGCCAGCCATGAAAGGTGTTCTGTTATGGTGCGCATGCAGTCCAATGCTGCTTGAATTCTTTGGAGCTTTGAATTCATGCAGTCGTATAACATGCATGGATTCAAAGCTTTGTGGACCGACTGGAGGATTGCTGTAACCACTTTGCAAGGGGCAAGGCGTCCGCTATTGTGGCTCTGTTCTTCCACAGCGCTTACAACGCGCGGACACCGATACACGAGGTGATGCAAAGTATGTCATGACTAAACGACAGATGTCATTCAAGCATTGTCATGTCCATGTCATGTTGTGATGTCATAAGCGTTCAAATAATACAGAACATGCGTTTTCCCATGTTCGTAGAAAACCACAGGGTGAATAACTTCACACGCTTTATGCATTATCTGAATCAATGTCTTGACCACACGCCATCCGGCTCTCTACTGGTCGCTTCCCCCCTCCCCGTGACTCAGGACGTCATGTGACCCGCATATGAGCGGCCCGGCCCGGCAGCCCGGCAAGGCGAGCTACCAGGTGCTGGCTGGCACTGACGGCCCGTGGCTCTGCTGACGTCACTGGTGCTGGGGGCGCCCGTAGGATCAGCAGCGTCATCTAAAGCGGCGTGGCAGCACAGAGTTTCCATAACCGGTTTTGGCCGGTTTTAAATGGTCCGGTTGAGTACGGGACTGTGAGACACGAGAGGGCGCACCAAACCAGCCGGGCTGGACTCAGAACGGCGAGAAACTTGTTACATCCAGCCTATGGTCCGTTACGGTGAGGAAAATCAGAGCGACGGAGTTTTGGGGAAGGCACCTCGACGCGATGCACTTTTTCCTCATACAACCAGTGGAACCGGTGCCATGCTGGGCATAGCAGCCTTACCAAGAAAGGGTAGCGATGACTGACTGTCGTCCCGTTACCTGGACAGCCGACCAGCCGGCGGCAGTCACAGCTCCCACTGGCCGCGCTCTCCGGAGACTGTTGCCCCCAGCTCGCCTGCGTACGGGTCAGCGTGGCCGCCCCTACTGCCGCGCTCTCCAAGGACTGTTGCCACAGCTCGGCTGCGTACGGGTCAGCGTGGCCGCCCCTATTGCTGCGCTCTCCGGGGACTGTTACCACAGCTCGGCTGCGTACGGGTCAGCGCGGCGGAGACTGCTGCCACAGCTCGGCTGCGTACGGGTCAGCGCGGCCGTTCCCGTTCGCTGGAGTTCGTCCTTTCGGCAATGCTCATTGTCCATTTTTCTCATGGCGAATTCTGCTTGCCATTTCCTCATTGCCCCATTTGATCACTCGCTCCCATATGAGCCATTGTAAATGCAATCAACAAGTGATGAACATATGAACCGCCAGTCTGATGAAATTCGTTTGATGACCTCGTCTATAGTAAAGCAAAGAGCGCAACTGCATAGTAAACTACTTGACGGCCGATGGAAAACACTATCTATTCCTCAGCCGCCAAGCGCAAAAGCAACGTGCTGGGGCAGCAATGAGTTTACTATTTGAGGAGGGTTCACACATATTCCAGGCGGCTGCATGACCGCAGCAGGAGAACTTACGACGGCACCCGGACGCCGAGAAACTGCATAAGCTTATCTCAGCTGCTTAATCGGGCGCTCCAGGATAAGGTGCCACTCTTTGTCAGGTGCTGGCCGCTGCATTTGGATGGCCGTGGCAACATCGCGGCTGCTTTGCATGCGAACGTGTCCCGCTGGACCTTGAGTCACATCGGTCACTAGGGTCGCGAGGCAGCCAGCGGCGGTCCTCCCTCCCCATGCATGTGCCAGCCTAGCGACAATCCATGCACGGGCTACGTGACCCTCCCATTGTCGGTCGTGAGGCAGCGCGGGCACAGGTCACGTGACTATCCGAGAACAGGCCGTGCGACCAATGAGCAGCCTGCCAACCGATCCAGTGACGCCGAAGGCACGCCTGCCTGAGCCGCCCGCCGTGCCGTGCGTGTGCACCCGCTGCACGGGGATCAGCGCACCGATGCATGGCGCCGTGCATTGTGCACCGGCACCCGCCGGGCGTGGCGTGCCGCTGGACGGCCGTGCGACGCCGCTAGCGTGACCTTCCGTCAGAATTGGTCACGGCCGGCTGCTCTGCCAACTGACGACCCTCATGCACGCACTCACGAACGCACGCACGCACGCACTTACGAGTGCGCATACGCACGAAGGCGAGTATATACACACCTACGCACGCACGTAGGGACGCGCACACACACACACACACACCACCACACACACACACACACACACACACACACACACACACACACACACACACACACACACACACACACACACACACACACCACACACACACACACACACACACACACACACACACACACACACACACACACACCACGCACTCACGCACGCACGCACGCACAATCAGCAACATGCACGCACGCACGACACGCACGCACGCACGCACGCACACACCACACACACACGACGTAGACCACATACATGCCGCTACCGGCACTGTTCGGCACGCAACGCACGCACGCACGTACAATGCACGTACTTACGCGTGGACGTACGCACTCGACGGATGCACGGAACGCACGGAACGCACACGGACGCCAGCGGACGCCACGGACATACGCATACACCCCCTCACACACACGCGCACACATTGTTGTGCGGCTGAATGAGTGAGCCGCCACGCGCTCCAGCCAGCCGCCGCGCGACAATACAAGTGCGGGCGTGAACGTGTGCTCATGCGTCGCGCACGCACTCGCACGCGCAGGCCAACGCCATCCATACCGGTCAAATGAGGGACATCAGAAGGAATGACGCGGATGCTGGCGAGGTCACCAGGTCTGAGGCACTTGTTTGCTGTCATGTCGGCCGCCGATCACCGACCTTGTTTGTACCATAGGACGGTGCCGCCCGGGTGGAAGTTGCACTGCATGGAGACGGTGCCTCCGGGCATCTGGCTGACCACGGACGTGCCGCTGCTGGTGTTGTCGCTCCCCGAGGACTGACCTGGACCGTAATGATCACCATCAGCGGGGCATTGCTTCAAAACAGCACACAACATGTAGCGGTCATAGTCGGCTGGCTACTGTTCCAAAATACGCATCGATGACGCGTCATTAGCGCCCTGCACCAGCCATCATTGCGCTGGACTGCACACACGGGCAGCCCTGCCAGTGCGGTCCCCTCCTTTCCCCAGTCGAGCTTGACCCAGACGGAGTGGACCCGTGTAACGGTACGAGACCGTGCAGCTGCGCCCAGTCACCAGTGCTGACAGGGCGGCCGCCCGGTCGGTGCCACAGGTGGTCGACCACTAAACGTGACGTCACTCACCAGGCGCCGGGCGGTACGGACCGGACAGCCAGCTAATAGGCGGAGGTCGGCATAGGTCATGGCCCGGGCAACGAGATGAATCAGGCGATTTCAGCGGGCTGGGCAAGGAGTTCAATCAGGGTACAGAGCTCAATCAGGGCAGGGAGCTCGATCAGGGTAGGGAGCTCAATCAGGGCAGGGAGCTTAATCACGGGAGTTCAGCGGCCGGGCAAGGAGCTTAATCAGGGTAGTACAGCGGCCGGGCAGAGAGCTTAAACAGGGGAGTTCAGCGGACAGGAAGGGAGCTCAATCGGGGGAGTTCAACGGCCAGGAAGCGAGCTCAATCAGGGGGTGCAGTGGCCGGGCAGGGAGCTTAACCAGGGAAGGTCAGCAGCCAGGCGGGGAGCTCAATCAGGGAACGTCAGTAATGGCCAGTGAGATCAGCGGGCCGGGCGGAGACCTGCATGAGGTAACAGCTGATGTTAGTAGGCATAACGGAAAACTGAATCAGTTGGGGTCAGCTTGGGCTGGCGAGAACGGAATAAGCCAAGCTCAGTGAACCCTACGCTGAGGTCAGTGGACTTGGCGGGGAACTGAATCAGCTGATGTCGGCCAGCCTCAGAGGCAGGATAGCTATAAAAAAACCGTGCCCTACTTGGAAGTGGGGAAGCTGACCAAAACATTGTATTGTCAATCACTGCGTGTCACGCAACCAGATCGGTGACGTCAGACCGCATGTCCGGAGACCAGACCGGTGACGTCAGACCGCATGTCAGGAGACCAGACCGGTGACGTCAGACCGCATGTCCGGAGACGCCCGTCTGCCTGCTGCGGCGGAAGGCCGTATAATGCGAAGGCGGATTCCAGCCAGAGAAGCGCATTTGTGGCCGCGATACATGAATCAGCGGCGGTTCCGGGGAGCGACCCACACTCCCGCCCCCGCCTCAGGTGCATCCGCCACACCGCAGACTAGCAGCCGTTCAAAACGACCCTGTGAGCCGTCTGCACTCGAGAACTTGGTGCGACACACGCAGAG